CCCAGCCTTAGAATACCGAGAAATAGGGAGCTACTAATTTTTAGGTTTTTTTTTTTTTCTTTTTTCAATTATAGAGTGCATGCACATTCATGTGGGAGAGAGAAGAGCATCTTCCACAGGGTGTGATCATACCACAGTCACCTTTTTGCTGCCCTCTAGCCTCCACTGGGCACTCATGCCTACTGGGTGTGTTTCAGGTAAATTGGGCGTGATATTCAAACCATGACTGTCATATAGGAGCCAGCTACTTTTGAGCGGTACCTTACTGCTGCACCATGGAGCTCACTCAGCTACTAGTTATGTGGCTTGGTTGCATCACTTCCTAAAAATAATTATCCTCAAATGCAAACTTTCATTATGCCATTTTTCAAAGGACTCTGATGTAGTATCTTGATAAACTGTTATAATTTCAAGATCCTTATCTTGAACTTTTCTAATTAACTCAGTTTTTTCTGCATGTTGTCATATATATTTTTTTAATTGCCCAGCAGGTATGCTGTCTAGAGAGAGAGAAAAAGAGAGGGAAAAAGCTCTTCCACCGCCACCAGTGGAGTATGGTCATGCCACAATTTCTTTTCCATTTCTCCATCCTGTGGGATTGGGGGCAGGCATGCATACATGCCAAGTTTGTCTTCCAAGCTGCTAGAGCTGGGCCTCCAGCCATGGTCAGCCATGTAGGATCTGGCTTCCCACAAGGCTATGGAGCTGGCCTTACCCAGCATTTATCTCCGCTATTGAGCCAATCCAGGTTACCTCTCTGCCTGCCCACCAGGCTTAGGTTGTCTGTCCATGCAGTTAGCAGGTCATGGTCTTTGAGAAACTGTCCTCAGCTTCCTTCCCATCAGCAGTGACTGTTCACTTTTCTGTACTCTTCTGATGCTTACCACCCTCGATATAGCTGTAAGCTCTGAGAGACAGGGGCCTATCTTGCTTATCTTTTTCTCCTCTGTATTGCTGTATAGTGTTCTTTTTTTTTTATTTTTGCATGTAACACACATTTGATAAGTATTTTATTATTATTTGTATTTCAGGTTTTTGCCATAGGGTGTGCGCGCTCACTGGAGAGGGAGGGACAGAGAGAGGGAAAGTGAGAAATCATCCCCTGGGGGGATGGCCAGGCCACAATCCCTTCTCTATTCTCCTTGCAGGAGTTTGGGCACACAGACACATGCACCCAACATGATTTTAAAGCCACCAGGTCTGGGACTCAAACTGTTGTTGGCCATGTGGGAATCCAGCACCTTAACCATCATGCCACCTGCTGGCCCCAGTAACTATTTATTCTAATTAAAATACCTTATGATTCTAGCTTGGTGAAAATATAATGTTTGATACATAGATATTTTATTTTAAACACCTAAATGTTAAGTACTTTTAAAGATTTTTCTAAATATAAAAAGTGTGTAACTTTTATTGCTATTTGGAGGCCTATAAGAAGTGTCTACAAGGGGCCAGCAGATAGCATAATGGTTATGTCACTGGACTTCCACATAGTTGACTGAGGTTTGAGTCCTGGTTCTGCCAGACTCAAACTCATGCCAGGCATGTGTGCATGTGTGTCCAAAATGGAGGAGAAGGGATTGCAGCATGGCCATCCCTCAGGGTTGGGGGTGGGGGTGTTCTCGCTTTCAGTCTCTTTCTGGCAAGCCCATGTGCACTATAGCAAAAATCTCTCTCAAAAATTAAATAAACAAAATAAGTGTTCACTTTTTTATGCAGTAGAAATAATTAACTAGAAAATAAATATATGGGGGTAAAACGCAGATTCAATTTATAATAGTCATGAGAACATAAATTATCTAGAAATAGCCTTAATAAGCAGTGTTTAAGACCCAAGTGAGGAAATTATTCCATCATATCAAGGTTCGAATAGAGACATACCATGTTACTGAATGAAAAGACTTAATGTGAATTTTCCATTTTTACCAAATTAATTTATAGCTTTATTCTAATAGAAATGAATGTTTTAATGAGATATTTTAAGAATTTTAAAAAGTAATTCTATAGAGTATCTGAAAGAACAAATAAGTGAGACTAAGAAACTTCTATAAAAACAGTGATAGCTCTGTTTTCTCACAGGTGTGAAAACAGAAGGAACTATAGCAAAAATCTCTCTCAAAAATTAAATAAACAAAATAAGTGTTCACTTTTTTATGCAGTAGAAATAATTAACTAGAAAATATATGGGGGGAAAATGCAGATTCAATTTATAATAGTCATAAGAACATAAATTTCTAGAAATAACCTTAATAAACAGTGTTTAAGACCCAAGTGAGGAAATTATTCCATCATATCAAGGTTTGAATAGAGACATACCATGTTACTGAATGAAAAGACTTAATGTGAATTTTCCATTTTTACCAAATTAATTTATAGCTTTATTCTAATAGAAATGAATGTTTTAATGAGATATTTTAAGAATTTTAAAAAGTAATTCTATAGAGTATCTGAAAGAACAAATAAGTGAGACTAAGAAACTTCTATAAAAACAGTGATAGCTCTGTTTTCTCACAGGTGTGAAAACAGAAGGAAAGTGAATCAGTGAAATAGGAGAGGTAGTACAGAAACAGACCGAAATATGTGTAAAATTATAATGTGATCAAGGTGAATTATAAATTATCAAGAAAATATGCATTATTGGAGACTTTTTGGGATAATTGACAATCTGGGAAACTAGCAAAAATATTGAAAAACTAGGGGGGAAATAGCATTACATCAAAATCACATACCAATTCTTTTTCTTTTTTCTTTATTCTTTTTCTTATGTCAGAGGGCATGTGAGAGAGAGAGAAAGACGGGAAGAAAGCATCCCCCAGTAGGGCCTGGTCACACCTCAGTGTTCTTTCCTGTAGTTTTGAACCTGGTTAGGATCCTGGGCATGTGTACATGCACAAGTGTACACCTAGTGCATACAGCTCTGGGGCTGGGACTCAAACCCTGATTGGCCATGTGGGATCTGGCTTCCTCTATATAGTGCCCAACCACTGTGCATGGGGTCAGACCCCAAATTAATTCTTTATAGATTAAAGAGTCAAATGTAAAAAGTAAGTAAATGAAAAGGTTAAAGAAAATATAGATGATTTTTAAATCTCTGGGTGGATAGAGAATTAAAGACAGGTAGAATAGATTTTACTTAATAAACTTTTAAAGAATTCTGTGCATCAAAAAGCCCTGGGCCAGCTGGGTGGCATGGTGGTTAAGGCATCTGGATCCCACATGGCTGACTGTGCAGTTCAACTCCCAACCTGATGGGTGTGCATGTGTGCCCATAATCCCAAGAGGAGAATGGAGGTGTATCCTGGAGGATACTTTCTCATTTTCTCTCTCTCTCTTTTCAGCGAGCACAAAGGACCTATAGCAAATTAAAAAAAAAAAAAAAAAAAGTCTTACAATTAACACGATTTCTCTCTAAAAATAAATTAATAAATAAAATTAACATAAGTTGGAAAATATTAATAAAAATATATTGGGCAAAGTTTCCATCCTTTCTATATATGCATCAATATCTTAAAAGAATTATTTATTTAGTATTATTTATTAGTAGTAGTAGTATTTTTAATTTGTGATAGACCACACATGCTCACTAGAGAGAGACAGAAAGAGGGAAAGTGAGAAAGCCAGTTGTCAGGTCCAGGACTCAAACCACAGTCAGCCATGTGGGAGCCCAGTGCTTTAGTCACCATGCTACCTGCTGGCCCCTATGTACATCAGTTTTAAAAATGCTCACAAATTCTCCAGTTAATGCAAATAGCAAAAGGATTAAATTCACATTCTTGGGAGACAACTATTCCTGGGCTTAGGCTGACTGTTGATTATCTGCTGTGTGACATTGAGCAAGTTCTAGTCTTCTAAAACCTCAGCTTCTTCATGTGTAAAGGGGCATAATGACAATTCCAGGGAGAAAGGATTACATAAGATAGTGTATGTATTTAGCAAGAGGACTTGCTAAATACGCCTGGCGTGAGTTTAATCCACCGGGTCCAGGACTCGAACCGCGGTCGACTATGTGGGAGTCCAGCGACATAGCCATTATGCTAACTGCTAGTCCCAAGAGGACCTGATTCTTAAGGAAATATAGGATTTTAGGATCTGCTGTGGCTCCCCGCTGTTAACATAAATACCACTGCCTATAGTTCAAAGGCCCCCTACCTTTCCTTACTTGTTTTTTAGTACTTACTAATCCCAAATGATTTACTCTAATCAAATAATTACTTTATTTTATTTTTTTGAGAGATATTTTTGCTATAGGGCACATACACTTGCCAGAGAGACAGACAGAGAGTGAGAAATCAGTCAAATAGAACGTATACCTACAGGGACTTGCCCTAAATCAATTGGGCAAATGACTTTGAAAATAATGAATGTTAAGGAAAAGACCTGTCCAAAACTAGCCTCAAAGTCAACCCTAACAAATGGCATCAATGCCAAGTCTGAAGAGTTAATAAGCATAAACTCTAAATGCATGAATTCTTCAAGGGATGGCCATGCTGCAGTCTCCTCTTCCATTCTACTCTGAAGACCTTGGGTACACACGTACCCACACCTGGCGTGAGTTTTAAGTCACTGGGTCCAGGACTTGAACTGCGGTAGATAATGTGGGAGTCCAGCAATGTAACCATTACACTATCTGCTGGTCCCCAAATAATTCTTATTTTAAAATAATTTCTCAGACATATGTATGTTTTGCTTCTATATCTGTGATTTCTGTCATCCTGTTATTTTCTTGAGATCCAGCTTAAATTTGACTGTTTCCATAAGCATTCTGTGCTTCTGCTGCCAGCACAAATCTCTGTTTCTCAGTGGAACTTAATGCGTAATTGTACACTTATTTACATTATCCCCTTTTGTTGAATGGGTTAATTTTGTCTCACCCACCTGCCCTTTTTTTTGAGACCATGTGTTAGGTTACTTTAATAGCTCTCAAAATGCTTTGCACAAATCCTGCTAGACATCGTAGGTTTCATTAAAAATGTGCTTGTTTGTTATATTCTTCCTTGTAGTTGAAGATGCTCACACTGGAGTATTTAAAGGAAATAGCAAACAGACAATTTGGAGGGGCTACTTGGTACGTCATTTTCAATTTAACTGTCTTTCTGCCTTACACTAGAATGAAAGTTTAAATAAAAAAGTTGTTTTCCTTTAAGAACCATTTTAGTGTTTACTTTTTCTCTAAGACTAGCTTGCTAGTATTAATAAGTATTGTTTTAAATCATCTTTACATTCTTATTTTGAAGTTTGTATGATGCAAGTAGATCAGACGTTTTCTCCGCTGTAAATTTTCACCAGCCTTGTGTTGCGAAAAGTGAATTGTCTTTTTCCTCTTTATTTTAGACAACAGATAAGGAAGTCCCTGGTTTGGTGTTAATGCAGGATTTGGCTTTCCTGAGTGGATTTCCCCCAACGTTCAAGGAGACAAGTCAACTAAAAACAAAATTGCCAGAGAATCTTTCTTCTAAAATTAAGCTGGTAAGAACATAAAAATAGATCAGCATGGCACATTTAATGCATCTCATTTAATGCATGACCCTTCTTTTGTGACTCATTTTGTTCAAAGTTCAGCTGACAGTCTTCAGAAGTGAAGAGGGACTCTCTTCTGCTACAGTATATTGTCATGAAGGCGGCTTTCTATTTATAACTTGGGCAGACCTCCAAGAGTCTCATTCGGTTTGCTGGTTTCCCAGATAGAAACAGGATACATTTGTCTAACAAATGAGTTCCCATAATGTGTTAGATGGTATTATAGCTGTGGAGATACAGCAGTGGACAGAGCAGACACAGCCACAGATGCAACTTACAGTGTCAGGAAAGGAAGCCTGGAAGGAGACGGGGAAATCACAAATGTGGTAAGTACATGTAGACTCCAACCTGCATATTTATGAAAAGCTTTCACTCTTAGAGGGAGTATACTTCAGATATTTGCAGTGTTTGATCATGGGAAACCTCTCTCATTGATAGCTACTTGAAGAATTCATGCATTTAGAGTTTATGCTTACTAACTCTTCAGACTTGGCATTGACGCCATTTATTAGGGTTGACTTTGAGGCTAGTTTTGGACAGGCCTTTTCCTTAGCATTCATTATTTTCAGAGTCATTTGCCCAGTTGATATAGGGCATAGTCCCTGTAGGTATACGTTCTATTTGACTTTATGTCGAAGATCCTGTTATTTTGTCAGAAATATTCCAGGTTGTAAAATGTGAATTTTTAAATTTATTTTTTAATTTTAAAGTTTTTTTTTTTTTTTTGGAGAGGTTTTTGCTATAGGGCATGTGCGGTCGCCAGAAAGACAGAGACAGAGAGACAAAAAGCAAGAAATCACCCCCCACGGGGGATAGCCACGCCACAATCTCTTCTCCTCCGTTCTCCTCTTGGGCATGCGCACACACATGCACAGTGTGAGTTTAAGCCACTGGGTCCAGGACTCGAACCTTGGTCAGCTACATGGGAGTCCAGTGACAGCCATTACGCTAACTGCTGGTCCCAATTTTTTGTTTGTTTGTTTGTTTTTGCTATAGGGCACATGCGTTCACCAGAAAGAGAGAGAGAGAGTCAGAGAGACAGAAAGCGAGAAATCACTCCCCAGGAGGGATGGCCATGCCACAATCCCTTCTCCTCTGTTCTCCTCTCAGGATCTTGGGCATGTATGCATACATGCCTGGTGTGACTTTAAGCCACAGGGTCCAGAACTTGAACCGCTGTCAAATACATGGGAGTCCAGCGACATAGCCATTACGCCATTTGCTGGTCCCAAAATGTGAATGTTTTTAAGAGTAAAATACATAAAGTCCTTGGCCCAGAATTTGTTAGGCTCTAGTTTTCTGGATTTTATAAAGAAGTGCTTTTTGAGTTCTGCCACTGGATTTAACTGACTTGATTCTTCCTGTTGTACATCATTTGACAGTTTGGGGAGTGAAGGGTAAGGTGGGAATAGTGGTGCGGGATTAAGGGAGTTCTTAGTTAGTTTCTGTTTTTTATGTCTCCCCACCCTAAGTTCCCTTTAAACTTGTTTCTTTTTTTCATAAGTGTTTTACTGCTTGAAGATATATTGTATTATGCTTACAGTGGTAATATGGATGGTATCTTTTTTTTTCATATTTTCCTCTATACTTTACTTTATTGTGTTTTGAAATAGGTTAGTGCCAAACTGTTTTAGGATTGAATTTATTCTTAATCTGCAGTTATGTTAAAATAGAGATTACATCTTTCTTTCCTCTGAGTTATTTTTAGTACTGATTTGGGCAGATAAATCTATATATTAGCTTTTATTTCAGCCAATGTTTATTTATATTATAGCTTCTCAGCCTTCTAGCTATTATTCTAGAATTGCAGACACATGGGACCAGCAGATGGCATAATGGTTATGTGACTGAACTCCCATGTAGTCAACCGTGGTTCAAGTCCCAGACATGGTGGCTTAAAATTCATGTTGCGGGGAGGGGGGAACCAGCAGTTAGTGTAATGGCTATGTCGCTGGACTCCCATGTAGTCAACAACGGTTCGCGTCCCGGACCCGGTGGCTTAAAACTCACGCCGGGCGCGTGTGCATGCGTGCCCAAGATCCCGAGAGGAGAATGGAGAAGAAGGGATTGCTGCGTGGCCATCCCCCCTGGGGGGTGATTTTTCGTTTTCTATCTCTCTGTCTCTCTCTGTCTTTCTGGCGAGCGCACACGCCGTATAGCGAAAACCTCTCCAAAAAAAAAAAAAAAAACACTCATGCTGGGTTTGTGTGCATGCATGTGAGCCCAAAATCCTGAGAGGAGAGTGGGTGAGAAGGGATTGCGGTGTGACCATCCCCCAGAGGGTAATTTCTTGCTTTATGTCAAAGATCTCTGTCTGATGAGCACATATAAACTATAGAAAAAATCTCTCTAAAAAAAAATGTAGACACATATATAGTCGTACTTTTGACCATTGGTTCACCTTCATTATGCAGAAAGATAGATATTCTTGGTTCTTCTTAAATAATTTCAACTGTAACTCATTTTTAAAAGAAAGCAGAATCATTCTACCTCTCCATTTTCCACTCCACTTTGAATATCCCGCACTGCTGTAGCCACTCACCGGTACTGGCTGGATTTGCTGCATCTAGGGGTAGATGGGTATGTGCTGCCAAAGATGGCCAGTCCCAAGTAGCAGCGGTCCTTTCAGCAGACTTATCTTGGGGTGGCATGGTATGGTAAATACAGGCAGAGACAGAGCGGGCAAGTGACTTGCACTGGACAAGGAGTACCAGCAGGCTTTGTGCATAATACCTCTTTCCACAATTTGTTCACCCAGTTGGAGATTTATTTGGATTTCCCGACTTGTCTTTGTGGCAGCTAGCATGCCTCAGAGCATCAAGCTAATCATCCATAATGTTCTTTGTGGGCTATTTTCATGATTCCAGCATCTGCAATCAACTTGAGGGATTACACCATATGCTTTTGAGAGGCTAGCAAGAAAGTGAGAAAGAGGAAGAGCAGATGTGGTCAGCATTTTGAGCCCAGTCCTTCAAAAGTCTTATTCCCTAGGCTCCACTTGCTAATTTTATCCTTTTTTTTTTTTTTAAAGAGGTTTTTACTATAGGGTGTGTGCGCTCACCAGAAAGACAGAGAGAGACAGAGAGACAGAAAGCGAGAAATCACTCCCCCCAGGGGGGATGGCCACGCTACAATACCTTCTCCTCCGTTCTCCTCTTGGGATCCTGGGCACACATGCACATGCTCCCGGCATGAGATTAAGCCACCAGGTCCGGGACTCGAACCGCGGTCGAAGTACATGGGAGTCCAGCAACATAGCCATTACTCCAACTGCTGGTCCCTCACTTCCTAATTTTATTATGAGGACTCTGAGAATGAACTTTATTGACTATCACTGGGTTCCCTTATTTATATAGTGAGCATTTACAAAATACTGCCTGTAGACCAGGGACTGTGCAAGGGATAGTCAAATATATAAAAGCACTTAAATGTTTTTGGATGTGATCACTTCCCAGTAAGATCATACATAAAGTACAGTGAGAGCATCTAGGCTCTAGGTGTCCTGAATGGCAAGGCAGGCTTGGCAGAGTAGGAAGTTTTTAGCTGGTCCTGAACAGAGCAGCATTTCTCCCAGCAAAAGGGAGTAGAAAAGATCATTCCACGCCGAGGGAATAGTCTTAGCAAAAGGCTGGAGGACTGAAAGTAAATGGTGTTTTCAGAGAACCAAGGCAAGCTATTCCCAGAGGCCAGAGCATAGGCAGAACTTAGGCTGGGGTGAGCAGGAAGACAGGTTGAGGCCATATTGAGATAGGTTTCTATTAAGAAGCCTGAACGTTATCCCGGAGGCAGGGAGAGTCACTAGGAGGAGGAGGACACAGGCTGTTCTATTGGGAACATAGTAGGGAAGGTGTGGTAGATGTGAGACAGTAATTGGCCAGAGGCAGGAAAACCAGTTCAGTCACTGCTGCCAGAGCCCAGCAAGACATTCCAGTTCAACGAGTGCCTTGGCAGTCGGGCACCAAGATGAGAATGGTTCCAGAAACATCTGAAACAGACACCCAGCATCACTGGTGACTTAATAAGCTGTTGGAGGGAAGGACAGAGAATGGAAGGGGAAATAAGTGGAAATGACAGCATTGACACACTCAGAGCTTCAGTGGGAGAAGTGAGTTTTGGGGAAGGAACCCCAAAGCTCAGTGTGGGGTGTGTTGCATTAGAGGTGCTTCGTGGCATGTGGGAGAAAAGGGCCGTTGAATGTCGGTCTTAAAAATCCAGCAATGCTTTCTATTTGAGGCTAATTTGAGATACCTTGAGGTGAGTCCTTTTATGATCTTATTAATTACCCTTTAATTTATCTGTAGCATTTTTTTTTTAAGTTTATTTTATTTCTTTAGTGAGAGAAAGACAGATCAGCGCCCTCAACAGGGTCTCACAATATATTCCTCCCCCTGACTCCAACCTTTCAGGCAGCCAAAATCATAAACATGAGCCCATACCCAAGAACCAAATCCCAGTCTTTTATATAGCTTCTAGCATGGCAAAGTGTTGTGTTATGGCTGGGCCCTTGTGTAGAACTTTTATATGTGCTGGGTCGGTCTTAAAAATCCAGCAATGCTTTCTATTTGAGGCTAATTTGAGATACCTTGAGGTGAGTCCTTTTATGATCTTATTAATTACCCTTTAATTTATCTGTAGCATTTTTTTTTAAGTTTATTTTATTTCTTTAGTGAGAGAAAGACAGATCAGCGCCCTCAACAGGGTCTCACAATATATTCCTCCCCCTGACTCCAACCTTTCAGGCAGCCAAAATCATAAACATGAGCCCATACCCAAGAACCAAATCCCAGTCTTTTATATAGCTTCTAGCATGGCAAAGTGTTGTGTTATGGCTGGGCCCTTGTGTAGAACTTTTATATGTGCTGGGACACAAAATTCACCTTTTTTTTGTTTTTTTTTGAGAGTTTTTGCTATAGAGTGCATGTACTCGCCAGAAAGACAGAGAGAGACAGAGAGACAGAAAGCTAGAAATCACTCCCCAGGGGGGATGGCCACACCACAATCCCTTCTCCTCCATTCTCCTCTCAGGATCTTGGGCATGCACGCACACGCACCTGGTGTGAGTTTAAGCCACTGGGTCCAGGACTCGAACCGTGGTTGACTACGTGGGAGTCCAGCGACATAGCCATTACGCCAACTGCTGGTCCCAGAGTTCACCTTTTGATAGGTTATGTTAGTTTTTATTTTCAAGTTACTAAATAGTTTCATTGATTGATTATTGATTGTCAGAGGGTGAGTGCACTTGCCAGAGAGGGAGAGAGAAAGCAGCTCCCAGTGGAGCATGGTCATGCTGTAATGTCTTCTCAATTTCTTCATTCTGTTAGGATTTGGGGGCATGCATGCACATGTACCCTGGCTTATTTTTCAAGCCACCAGTTCCAGGATTCAAACTGCTTGGTTAGCCATATATGATCCTGCTCCATTAACCACTAAACCATAGGGCTAGCCTTTCATTTATTTTTTTTTCTTTCTGTTTTTGATTCACTTCTCTAACCTGTTAGAGCAGGTAAGGAATCTTGCCAAAGCGCTCAAGTTAGATTTAATTCAGTTATAGTGGTTGCTGAGAGAGTATGCAGGAGGAGAAAACATAGACCGTCCTTAAGTAGTTATAATCACATTTTGGAAGCAGCGTGTGCATATTAAGTATTTGGATAGCAAAACAAGATAGCGATTGAGAGAGCGATTAACTGTTGAGGTAGTACAAACGTAAGAGTTGGCATTTAGAGATAGATAGGAAAGGTCCGCATGGGTCAGAGACGTGGGGAAAGTTTTCAGAGAAAGCGGCTGCACTGGGTCCTTGAAGGCTGAGCAAGTCACTTATTTATACAGAAAGGATAGTGGAACAGCACGCTGTCTTACCTGGACTCTGCCTCCTCAAACCTCTGTTAAGGGTCTGTTAAAGGCCACAGTAAATTGTTACAATTTTGTACTAATGCCCTTTCTTTTAGTAATTTTCCTGAAATCATCTTATAGGCCCGCTCTTTTAAAGCATGGCATCCTTTTCTTTTGATTTCACTTCTGAAATGAACACTTAAGTAGATGAAACAACCAACACTGGAATGGATCTGGGTTTTATAAAACAGCCAGGACGTAATAAGACCTAGTAGCCTTACATTTTCGAGCCATTCAAAAGCATGAATTTGTTTTTCAGGAGTTATTAGCTGACATGATTTTTACATAAAGGATTCTTTTTTTAATTTTTATTTTTATTTGACCAGAGAGGGTCAGAGCAAGAGAGACAAAGAGAGAGAGAGAGACAGAAAAAGCAAGCCACAATGTCCAGGACTTGAACCATGGTCAGCTATGTGGGAGTCCAGCGTCCTTAACCACCACGCCACCTGCCAGCCCCTACATAAGGGATTCTTAATGACTTTAAATCAATCTGAAATAATAATAGGTTAGACCTTCAGAATTTCTGAGTACTTTAAAACTGTTGGAAACATAACTTCTTATAGGAAAGCCTTTGTCATCCTTTTGGATCTGCATGGTCTCCGAGAACAGGTTTTCTCAGCCTCTACATTCACATTAGTAGTTTCAGCTGGATACTGCTTTCCTGTAAGGACTGTCCTGTACATTGTAGAATATTTTGCAACATCCTAGGTCTCTGTCCTCTAGATACCAGTAGCATACCCACCCCCATTTGTGACAACAAGAAATGTCTCTAGACTTTGCAAAATGAGTCCTTAGGGACAAAACTACCCCTAGTTGAAACTGTCCGAGAAAGATAGTATCTGCAGATACACAATTATTATTTTTTGGTCACTTTTTTTTTTAGAGAGATTTTGCTACAGGGTGTGTGTGCTCACCGGAGAGACAGACAGATAATGAGAAATCAGCCCTCAGGAAGGATGGACACACTGCAATCCCTTCTCCTTCATTCTCCTCTCAGGATTTTGGGCATACATGCACCCAGTGTGAGTTTTAAGCCACCAGGTCTGGGACTCAAACCATGGTCGGCCATGTGGGAGTCCAGCCACATGACATTACACCATCTCTGGTCCCAATACACAATTGTTTAAGACAACTTGGTACAACCTTCCTTTGTAGCCTTTAAAAATGAGAAGTTCAGGGACCAGCAGATGGCGTGTCTGGAGTGATTTCTATTTTATAACCTGGTCAGTATAATTCTGAATTTAGGTTTACTAACCCTGTGACTATTTCTCTTCCCTGTCCCATTTCATATAGTATACAAAGTGTAAAGTATAAGATTTGGTTCCAGTGTGTGTGTATGTGTATATATATATATATATATATACATATAGTACAGCATCAACAAGTTTTAACTATGAAATGTCTGGTTCTTGAAATCTCTATTAAAATTTATCTTCATTGATCTAATTATCAAACCTGCTCATTTCTTGTCTTTTAATTAAAAAAAATTTTTTGCCAGATGCCATGTGTGCTCACCAGAGTAGGGGGCAGTGAGCAAGTACCCTTCATGGAGAATAGTCATAACACTGTCCTTTCTCCTCTGCTTCTCCTTTCTTTCGGGATTTTGGACAGGCAAGCACACATACATGATTTTCTCAAGCTGCTGTTGTCAGACTTGAACCAAGCAGTCAGCCATGTGGGATTCAGCTGCCTTAACCACCAGGTCTGTTCATTTTGATGCTGCCATTTATCTTTAGAAATACACCAGAATATTTTTCTTGAAAAAAATGTTTTCTTTTAGTTTCTACAATGCTACTTCTCCTGATTATCATCTATATTATCCTTCATGGACTCAAATTTATCCATCCATTGAATAATCAGTTATTCTGTTAATAATCAGTTCATCATTACAGGGCCTGTCCTAGACCACCATTTCGTTCTACCTTTCTCTTCCTCTTCCCTTGCCTCCTGTTACTATACGTAGGTGTGGCAGTCTCCTTATTGTACGTAATGCTGCAGTAACAAACATCCTGTAATCTCAGTGGCTTAATCAGAACAAAGCTTTATTTCTTAATCATGTTACGGGTTCTTTGTGGATCTGCAGGGAGTGGGTGTAGAGTTTGTCGTCTCTTTAAAAACATTATAATTTATAAGAACTTAGTTAAATTTATAATTTAAAGTAAGAAGCTCTGTGTGTGTGTGTGTGTGTGTGTGTGTGTGTGTGTGTGTGTATTTATGCACACAGAGATAGATAGATAGATAGATAGATAGATAGGCAATTGATCAAGTTAACTGCAGCCTTAAGCACAAATCCGCCTCCTCTCCTTGGATTGGGCTGCCACCTAGAGGCTAGCAGAGTGTACTTCTTTACCCCCTTCTCTTAGAGCCTAGTTGATTATAGCAGCAGAACATCTCATACATATAAATAATCATTTAAGCTTTTGGCTTTTCACCTCTTGAGTGGTTTTCATCCCTTTCCTTAACTCTAAAAACCTCTTCTTCATAGGAAATTATATTATAAGAGTCCGAACATAAAATAGATAAAAGTTGGAGTAGACTGTTTTGGGTGGAGAAAGCCTCGTTGTACAACTTGTTGATGTTTATGATGTTTTCTCCTAGACCAATGATTGCTCCAAAAGCTTTGCTCAAAAGGGTGGTTTTTCTGTGGAAGCACTTCAGGCATCTCTGCCAGTGGTCCTTCTCCTGGGCGTGTGGATCAAACCCACTAGCAGATGTGCTTGTCAGCAATTCCAGCAAAGTTCCATTGCAGGATTTTCCTCCAGTATAAGCAGATGGGAAATATTCCAGAACAGATTCACAAATGGTTGGATAGCAGGTGTGTGTGTGTGTGTGTGTGTGTGTGTGTGTGTGTGTTTTGAATGCAAGGCAGTCAAAAGCATCTGAGCCCATATTGAAAATTGAGGAGATTTCATGTACAAGTTAGGCATTTGGGCCTTTTAGGAACGCTGGTGGCACTTGGTAACATTGAATAATGACTGCAGCTTTCATACGGGGCCTGGGATGTCTCATTTTCTACCTGTGCCATCAGTCCTTCTTGTAATTAAACATCTGGTCTGTCACATTCATCTGGAAAATGCATCTGACCTGTTTAGGTTGTCTTATTTTAGTGAAATTGTCTTGCCACTTCAAGATTAAAGGTCATACTGGAAATTTAAAGGTGTCTCTTCCTTGAAACTCAGTATTTTGTCTGTGTGTAACCTTCTCATTATTTGATAGTTGCAGTTGTATTCAGAGGCCAGTGTGGCGCTTCTCAAGTTGAATAACCCCAGGGATTTCCAAGAACTTAATAAGCAAACTAAGAAGAACATGACCATTGAGGGAAAAGAACTGACCATAAGTCCTGCATACTTGCTGTGGGATCTGAGCGCCATCAGCCAGGTAAGGGCTGCAGAGGTTCTTACAACTCAGTCAAGCGTTTAGAATGTAAACATTTATAAGTCACTGTATTAGGAGAGAAAAGAGGACTTAGAGGTGAGTTGATTAGAACTTTTCTAATTTTCCAGCCACTGCCATTGGTCTAATGTTAATTGGAGTGAGGGCCTCGCTAAGGCCTTACCTAAGATGCTGTGCTCCACAGGCTAGGATTGTATGGAGGTGCAGATTTGATTCCTAGTCCTACCTAAAGGCTGGCATTCTTCCAGTTGGGCTCACCTGTAACCCCAGTCACTTGGAAAGGCTGAGGCAGGAGGACTATGACACAGCCAGACCCTATGTGTAAAAAATAAATTAATTGAAATGGCCTAGAATCATATCCAAGAAACTTTTCTATAAAGTATGTTAAGAAATGCTGTATCTTTTAGGGTTTTTGTTTTGTTTTTGTTTTTTAATATACTGAGTCTTTTGCAATTTTTGTAGCATTTAAAATTAGAACTCCTTCTTTAAAAGTATGCCAGAGTCGGGCCGGCAAGTGGCATGGTGGATAAAGGTGCCAGATTCCCACATGGCCTATCAGGTTCGAGTCCCAGATCTGGCAGCCTGCTTTCTCACTTTCCCTCTCTCTCTCTGTCTCTCTATGGTCAAATTAAAAAATAATAATAATAAAAATGGAATTAAATAAATAAGTCTGCCAGAGTTTATACCTGAGAGCGGAGAAGGCAGAGGTGAAGGACTTGGGGAGGAAGTCTTACGTCAGAAATATCCACAGCTTCATGTCCCAAATGTGTTTCTCAGTCTAAACAAGATGAAGACATTTCAGCCAGCCGATTCGAAGATAATGAAGAGCTGAGATACTCACTGCGCTCCATCGAGAGGCATGCCCCATGGGTTCGGAATATTTTCATTGTCACCAACGGGCAGATACCCTCCTGGCTAAACCTTGACAATCCCCGAGTGACGATCGTTACACACCAGGTACACAACTTTCCAAATATCACAATGCTCCAGCTTTCTATTCCGTTCTTTTAATGTGGTGTAGGGATCGCCATGGTTTCATGCCCCTTTCTCTTCTCACTTCCACGTTCACCTTTAATACTCCTATTTTCTTCCTTTCTTTCCTCCTAAAAATGAAATGAAACCACAACAAAGCAACTCTCATTTGTCTTCTTTCTCTTGTTCTTTTTTTTTCCTGTTAAAAGGATGTTTTTCGAAATCTGAGCCACCTGCCTACCTTTAGTTCACCTGCTATTGAAAGTCACATTCATCGCATTGAAGGGCTGTCCCAGAAGTTTATCTACCTGAATGACGATGTCATGTTTGGGAAGGATGTCTGGCCAGATGATTTTTACAGTCATTCCAAAGGTCAAAAGGTGAGTCCCGAACTTGAGAGTCACTTAGCATCTCAGGAACTCTTTAAGCGTTTCAATTGCTGAGCTAAAGCCTTAAGACAATTTAGGTGTAAGGAAACTGTAGCAGGAATTTGCTTCTCTATATTCTTAGACCCTCAGAACTCTCTCTTTTCCCCTCACCATTTGCATTTTCTCCTACAGTAACTGAAAAGGCAAAATCACTGTGCAACACAGAATTGTTAGAATGTCAGCAAAAATGACCAAGATAAGAAAGTGTTCACATTAGTGCTTAACGATAAGGATGTGGCCCAGACTGGTGGCACAGTTGGTAGTAAACTAAACTGCAGTGCTAGAAGCCACATGGCCTACTGTGGATTCACTCTGGGCACATGCATGCATGCCCAGGATCCTGACGAGCTCTGGAGGGCCAGGGGTAGGGGATTGTCATGTATTGACACCCTATCAAGGGTACTTCTCTCTGTCTCTTCTCTCTCACTCCCTTCTGTGCATACATGTGTGCTTTATCATGAGCAGAATAAGTGAACCTACTTTTGAAAAATAAGGTATAGACGAAATTTCATTTAAGACAATCCGTCTCCCTCTGGCTTTGTTGAGAGGCAGGATGGAGAAGTGTTAATGCAGGGACCAACTGCCTAGGACAGTCCTGGATAATGACATGGCCTCTGAGTTTTCTGTTTGGATAGGGGAAAATACAAATGCCCCTATAGCATTGTTGGAAGGATTCAGTGACAAGTTAAAGAATATCACCATAAGGTTATAAGTTATAAAATGCTGCAAGTGGAGGTTCTAATAGCACAGAGCTGCTTTTTTGTCATTTATGCCATCCCAGTGAGCTCATTCTCCTGTTCCCCCATTCACTAGCTGCCTCTGTGTTAGGTGGTAGAACTGCAAAGTTGAGCCTGTGACTTCGCAGGACAAACTCAAAAATCAGTGACTGTGTGCAGTGCTCTTTGTGCTGACAGGTGTGCCCTGGTGCTGAGGAGTGTGAGCACAAGAAATTTAAATCAGATGAACAAGGGGAGAACTCCCATCTAAGTTGACTTTATTTTGAAGAACAAATAAGAATTTAGATGAAGAAGTTAATTTAGAATACACGCACTGTCTAAAGCATAGACACTTTAAAAGGGGGAGTTTCTTTTTAATGTTTTTAATTTTAAAAGTAGCCATGTATCATATCACTGACTTTGAGAGCTAGCAGGTGAGTGCACAGCTCAAAATGCTGTGTTGATTAATTTATCATACAGGGAGATCAAGGGCATTGAGAGTTCATCTGCTTCTTCTGCTGTAACACAAGATTATGCAGGAGTTACTGATAGTTGTCACAGAAAAGCAGTGGCTGTGGCATACTTTCTACCTGCTTTTATGTGCTCATGAGAGAGAGATAAGGAGAAAATACTCCTCAGTGGGGGCTAATCATGCTACAATCCCTTTTCCACTTATCTTTCTTGTTTAGAATCTACTGGCCTGTTTTGTAAGCCTCAGGGTGCTAGGATTTGAACCATGGTCACCCATGTGGAATCCAGCTCCCTAGGCACAGGACTTACCACTGTGTTATGGGACCAGCCTTCCAACTGCTTTGATTTGTTTTTGTTTTGCTTTTTTTTTTTTAAACTCATCTTTAAGTCTCACATTATGAAACTGTGTTGTAAGAAATTAATCTGCAAATAGAATCCTTGTCCTTGAGTAATGGAAAAGAGTAAATGTGCTCAGTTAGAGACATCAACACAGTGGGATTTACAATAGAAAGCTACAATGGTACGAGAAAATTTAAGGCAAGCATGAATGTAGATAGTTAGCCCTAGAAAATTTTAATCTTTCAAGAGACTTTTTTTAAAAAAAGTAAATTTAAAAAAGGAATCCCAATTCAAGAGTGAAAAGTTTGGAAACCAGGGACCAGCAGATGGCATAATGGTCACATAGTCAACTGCGGTTTGAGTTCAGGACCCAGTGGCTTAAAACTCACTCCGGGTGCACCTGCATGTATGTTTAAAATTCTGAGAGGAGAATAGAGGAGAAGGGATTGCAACATGACCATTCTCCCCTCGGGGGAGGACTGATTTCTTGCTTTCTGTCTCTCTGTTTCTGTCTCTCCAGTGAGCACACATACCCTCAAAGAAAAGTGTCAGAAACCAGAAATAATTTTGTTTTCTCTTTGGCTATATTGTAGGTTTACTTGACGTGGCCCGTGCCTAACTGTGCTGAGGGCTGCCCAGGTTCCTGGATTAAAGACGGCTATTGTGACAAAGCGTGCAATAATTCAGCCTGCGACTGGGATGGCGGTGATTGCTCTGGTAAGGATGTGTTAAAATGTTATTTGTTCATGTTTATGGAATCTTTTCATTCATGACTATTGTTGAACATATTCTGTTGACTGAACTATGTATTGAAATAATCAATAATCCATAGACTCTTTAGAGGTGATGATTTGTGTTCCCCTGTAGCCCAATTTATTCGTGTTATCCATTGTTAAGGGCATTTTCCCAGTGGCTTAAAACTCATGCTGGGCGCGTGTGCGTGCGTGCCCAAGATCCCGAGAGGAGAATGGAGGAGAAGGGATTGCGGCGTGGCCATCCCCCCTGGGGGGGGGGTGATTTCTCACTTTCTGTCTCTCTGTCTCTCTCTGTCTGGCAAGCGCACGTGCCTTATAGCGAAAAACCTCTCCAAAAAAAAAAAAAAAGAATCACTGGTTCTTCTAACAGGATCTCATAGCTCATAGCTTTTACCAGCAGGTTGCGGTAGATCTGGGAATGACTGAAAAGATACAAAAGAAATAAATGTCTTATCTTCTCAGTATCTCTTCTCTTTTGTATACTTATATTTGGACATGATGAAAATAACATTTTTTTTTTTTTTGGAGAGATGATTTTCACTGTAGGGCGCGTGCGCTCGTCAGACAGACAGAGAGAGACATCGAGACAGAAAGCGAGAAATCACCCCCCAGGGGGATGGTCACGCCGCAATCCCTTCTCCTCCATTCTCCTCTCGGGATCTTGGGCACGCACGCACACGCGCCCGGCGTGAGTTTTAAGCCACCGGGTCCGGGACACAAACCGTGGTCGACTACGTGGGAGTCCAGCGACATAGCCATTATGCTAACTGCTGGTTCCCGAAAATAACATATTTTTTGGGACCAGCAGATGCATAATGGTTACGTCGCTGGACTCTAGCATGGCCAACCTCAGTTTGAGTCCTGAACCCAGAGGCTTGAAACTTATGCTGGGCATGTGTGTGTGCATGCCCAAGATCCAGAGAGGAGAATGGAGTTGGGAAGGGATTATGGTGTGACTACTCCCTCGGGGGTTGATTTCTTGCTTTCTGTCCCCCCACCCCTCTAGTGAGCACAAGAGCCCTATAGAAAAAACACTCTCAAAAAAAGGAAAATAACATTTCTTTTATGTTTACCTATTGCCTTTCAGCTTATAAATCATTAAACTTATAGAGCATTATTCATTATCTACTTGAATTTCTTGGCCACCTGAGAGAGAGTATGTGCACATAGTTCACCATCCCCTTGTTTCGTTGAGGAAATAGATTTGGAAATGTGTTGAATATTGGAAGAAACAAAACTTCAAGTTATGTTTCGGATAGATCTCTTAGCCGCATTTTGAAAAATTCCAGAATCTTCAGGAAGGGAATGCAGATGTGCAGAGTAGACTGGTGAGGACCTGAAAACTCAACCCCTGGTAGAACATTAACATTTGATAACAAGTCCATACCCAAGCTTGGACATGCTTTTGGCAGTTCTGATAGCTATAGTCTTTAGAATAATTTCTTTCTGTTGCCCTGTTTTTCCGTATCTGTCTGCACATTCTCTCCCCTCCCCCTGAGCAAATTTGAGGGTTATACTTGTCAGTTCCACAGCTACAAAGTGCCAAGGCCTGGTCATTACCTACTGGCAAGTGATGTCCCATTTTAGTTTATTTTCTTCTTAAGATATGTGAATCTTCTGCTAAAGAATGGTATGAACCTTTTCTGACCATAATCCATGCACCAATCTTCAAAACATTAGTAAGAAAAAAGGAACTGTCTTTTTTTCAAAATCATAAGCACAGCAAGATTCTGTCTTCCTCTCTCCCTGTACAGGTAACAGTGGAGGGAGTCGCTATGTTGCAGGAGGTGGTGGTACCGGGAATATCGGACTTGGACAGCCCTGGCAGTTTGGTGGAGGAATAAACAGTGTTTCTTACTGTAATCAAGGATGTGCCAACTCCTGGCTCGCTGATAAGTTCTGTGACCAAGCCTGCAATGTCTTGTCTTGTGGGTTTGATGCTGGTGACTGTGGACAAGGTACATTTGTTGCCATAAAAATGTGTTGAGAATAGGAGGTAAAAATCCTTGAAAAATAGAGGGGGTTTTGGATGATCGTTGTTACTTAAAATAATTATTTTCTGCATATCCCTCTTCTACCCTTAGATCCAAACTAGTTGTAAATTAAAACTAAAAAAAGGACACAGATCTTTAGAAAACAGTAAAGTAAATACTAAGGATGTACATTTTCCCATTATGCTCCAGTTTTATTTTTTGGGAGTGAGCAGATTTATCTTAGCTGAAAATATGTAGTGAAGGCTTAATTTGGAAACAATGAAGGAGATCAGCAATTCATTAAATAATCATGGTCTGCATACAGGATCTTGATAGCTTATTAATGGGGTTGTTTTGGCAGAAAGATTTTTTTTCAAATGGAGAAAAAGATGGAAATGATAGAGGAGGAATGCATTTTTATTTATGTAATTTTCTTATGGTGGAGAATTTCACTTCTTTTTTATTTTATATTTTAATTTTATACATTCAATCACCATATATCTCTTAGCTTATAAAGTGAATTTTCACATGACTACTTCACACCAGTCCAGTTGAGGACTATTCACATTATCATCAATAGGAATGTATTGTTAATAATCGTTTGGTCCAGTCATGGAAGTGCATGCTGCTAAAATACCATGCTCTGTTGGTTTGGGACCATGTGGGAGGCCTGGGTTTGATTTCCTATCCAACCTAAAAGCTTGATACGGCATGTGCCTGTAATCCCAGTGATTCAGGGAGGCTGAGTCAGGAGGATCCTAGTGTGGGGAGACTCTGCAGGAGTTTCTTTTTGTCGTTGTTTGTTTGTTTGTTTGTTTTTTAAGGAATTGTGTTTTATCTTAGTGAGTCAGGGCCAATATTTCATGTTAATTTATGTGATCACCTAAGATAATGAAATAAGCCCTTTATCAGTGGCTATTATATTAGAATATTTTTTAAGAATTATTTTTTGTTAATATTTATTTATTTGTTTATTTATTTATTTATTTATTTAAATTTGATCAGAGAGATAGAGTGAGAAAGCAAGCTGCCAGGTCTGGGACTCGAACCACGGTCAGCCATGTGGGAGTCTAGCACCCTTAACCACCACATCACCTGCCAGCCCCAGAATTTCTAATTTTTTTAAAAAATAAATTTAAATTTGCTCTTAGAAAGTAAATAAATAAAAGAATTAAATGAGTAAAAAGAATAGTTTTTTTTTTTAATTATGTTTGTGTTTTCTCCTCTAGATCATTTTCATGAGCTGTATAAAGTAACTCTTCTCCCAAATCAGACTCACTATGTTATTCCAAAAGGTGAATGCCTGCCTTATTTCAGTTTTGCGGAAATAGCCAAAAGAGGAGTTGAAGGTGCCTATAGTGATAATCCAATAATTAGACATGCGTCCATTGCCAATAAGTGGAAAACCATTCATCTCATCATGCACAGTGGAATGAATGCAACCACAATACATTTTAATCTCACGTTTCAAAGTATGAGTGATGAAGAGTTCAAAATCCAAATAACAGTAGAGGTGGACACAAGGGAGGTACCAAAACTGAATTCTACGACCCAGAAGTCTTATGAAAATTTGGTTAGCCCCATAACACTTCTTCCAGAGGCAGAAATCCTTTTTGAGGATATTCCTGAAGAAAAACGCTTCCCAAAGGTCAGGAGACATAATGCTAACTCAACAGGGCGATTCCAAGAGGAGGTAAAAATTCCCCTCGTGAATATTTCACTCCTTCCAAAAGAGGCCCAATTGACTCTCAGTAAATTGGATTTGCAGCTGGAACAGGGAGACATCACTTTGAAAGGATACAATTTGTCTAAGTCAGCTTTGCTGAGATCATTCCTGATGAATTTACAAGATGCTAAAGTGAAAATAAATCAAGCTGTAGTAACAGGTAAAATAAATGGCATTTTGGAAGCCCCACAAGAAAAAAAAGTTGACAAAAACATCTTGCAAAAGAGCACAGAAGTATATGAAAATCTACAGAGGTCGACTTTTCCTGTAGTGACAATGAAAGTAAACAGTCACTATCAGGGTCCAAATCCATCCCTGAATTTGGAGACCAAAACAACGTTTAGATCAGAAACTCAGACCCAGCAAGTAGTAGGCAAGGATGTCTCAGAAGAAAAGCTCTCATCTCTGATTGTTCCACTGGAAAACCTTGTGGCAAAAGAAAAGAAAATCACAGAGAAAGAAGAGAGAAACAGACTGGAGGAAAATGCTAAAAATCTCACAGGTGTTAATAGCATATTACCTGGAAGAAAGCTGCAGCATTACACAGAAAGTTACGTGGGTTTTTTGCCATGGGAGAAAAAAAAATATTTCCAAGATCTTCTTGATGTAAGTTACAGCCAGCATTATTCTTTCTCATGCTAGAACAAATAAATGGTCTTGTAATTGATAATATATAATAATAGCTGCCATTTATTCCCCACTTCATTGTGCCAGCCACTGAACTAAGTGCTTGTCTTAGAGGGTTTCATTTAATTTTCCCAATAACCCTTATAATACAAATGCTGTATGAGAGTATTTACTATCCGTATCCTCATTCACAGTTTAGGAAAGAGCCCCCATGTGAATGACTAAAGAATTTAGCCGGGGGTATACCCCAAGGAAGTACAAGATGACATCTTGTCTTTGCGGTCAGATCTGATACTTTACTGATAAAAAACCTGATGTTCAGATAGGCTCATTATCTTTCCCACTATCATCACAGCCAGTCAATGTGCACCAAAACTCCAAGTTAGAGAGTCCTTCCCTGTCCCAGAGCTTCCACCATGCTGTGGTGTCACCTGAACTTCTCCCAAGAGCTATCCCAGTGGACAAGTAGAACACAGTGGCCCCTTGTGGAGACTCAGAGACCAGGAGGGAGATGGATTTGTGGGCAGATAATTGAAACAGCAAGAGAAGCATTTAGACAGGCAAGGAATACAGAGGAGAATGCTTTTTCTCTTAGAGTATTAGGGACGGCATCTGTGGGGACATCCTCTGTGAGCTGACCTTTGAAGAGGGCAGAAATTGAGACACCAAGACAGCCATGTGGTCTAGGCTGGATAGTGAAGAAACATAGCCACAAGCAGATGTTAGACTGAGAAAAAAAAAAAGAGGGTGAAGGGGAAATTGTCTTATGCCTCTGAGCATTTTGGGGAAGTATCTTCTGCCTGGCACATTTAGGATTTACTAGTGGTTATGTGAAGGACTGCGGAGTTCTATGTATATTTCCTCACTTTCCACCCTTTTCTTCCTTATTTTATTATTTTTTAACTTGTAAAAGCACTGAAGGTTAATGTTAAAAACTGAAAGCAATGCAAAAATATACAGTAAAAAGGGAAAGGTTTTCTTCTTTTCTCACCCTCCCTCCCTGAGATAATCACTCTTACTAGTCTGGCGGGTGTCTTTCCAGTATTTTTCTCTCCATATACACACATACAGGCTTTATATACAGTTTCTGTTTTGCATCAGTGAAACTGCACTGTGCACATATTTTTATGTAGTTGTCTTTTGATTTAGTAGTTTGCAGGTAAACTACCTGTGTCCATGCCATTGTTCTTTTTAACGGCTCTAAGTTATTTTTATTGTGTGACAGTTGCAAATAGTGTTGTAATAAATAGCTTGTACATATATTTTACACTTGATTACATTTTTACTTATGTAGGTGTAATTATTAGGTTAATGGATCTGGGTCATATAAACTTTAAATATGTGTTTCTAAAATGTTATACTCCCACAAACAGTATTTAGAGTGCTGTTTCTATACTGGTTAACCTCTATGAACCTTATCAATACCAGCTCTACTTTTTTTAAAAGAATTATTTTACTTAACTTTATTTATCCATTCATTTATTTATTTTTTAATTTGACCAGAGAGGGACGGAGTGAGAGAGAGAAAGGGAAGTGAGAAAGCAAGCTGCCAGGTCTGGGAGTCAAACCACGATCGGCCATGTCAGAGTCCAGTGCCCTTGACCACCACGCCACCTGCCAGCCCCTACGTTTTTATCATTTTTAGAAGCAAAATATTTCTTCTTTTATAATTTGTGTTTGAGTGCTTTGCCAATTTTCTTTGTCCTTCTGGTTCTGCCTGATTTTTAGAAAAATTGTATTCATGGTAAAGCTTATGCATATGTGTGTGAGAGAGACAGAGAGAGATGATCACCTTCCATGGCATCTGGTCATGTCCTGATCTCCTTCTTCCAGTTCTCCAGCCTGTCAGATTTTGGGCAGTGATGAGTGTGCCCAGTGTGTTTCAGCCTTACTGGGCCAGGGATTCATTCAGTCACCATTTGGGACTCCTCTGGCTTCTTTTGAGTAGTGCATTGCCGGAACCAGCTTTTTCATCTAGTTTGATTTTTTTTTTTCTTTATTTATATGACAGAATTGTATTGGTTTGGGACCAGCAGTTGGAGTAATGGCTATGTCACTGGACTCCCATGTAGTAGATCATGGTTCGAGTCCCAGACCCAGTGGCTTAGGCTCACACCGGGCACATGTGCATGTGTGTCCAATATCCTGGAGAATGGAGGAGAAGGGATTGTGGCGTGGCCATCTCCCCTGGAAGGGTGATTTCTCTCTTTCTGTCTCTCTGTCTCTCTCTGTCTTTCTGGTGAGTGCACACGCCCTACAGCAAAAACCTCTCAAAAAAAATTGGTTTGGATTTTATAGATTTTTTTTTATAAATTTACTTACATACTTATTTTATTTATTTATTTATTTATTTATTATTTATTTATTTAACGTGTGTGTGAAAAAGAGAGAAAGCAAAAATAGGCACCCTCGACAGGGAAGATCTCATGCCACTATCCTGCCTTCAAGCCTTCCCAGCCTGCTAGGATGACAGGCATGTGTGTGGACACTGGGTGTGTACTGGTTGACCCAGGAACACAACTCCAGTTGCCTTGTGGCCTCCAGCATTGCAGAGCTACATGCTTCTTCTGCTACACCACGAGGGTTGGACCTGTTTTTTTATATTAACACTATTACGTGGTGAAACCAAATTTGTTTCTAGTCACTGTGTTGAAAAGAAAACTAATTCCTGCTTTAATGTCACTAGCAGGAATAGCTTGATATTGAAGTACTAGCAAATTGATATGAAAGTAAATTTTATAAATGTTGCTCTGAATCAACTTTGAAATCCCATAGTCAATCCCAAGCCCTTACAGGATACCCTATAAATATATTCCCATCACACAACTATTACTCTAAGCCTTTATTCATGATATTTGCACTGGAATCTAGTTCTGTTTGGAGACCGCTTAAAGTGATGCATTTCATTTGTCCCTCAGAGGCAGTTAGTGACTAATTACTAACACATTACATAAAATGGTACTTTCATCTATATTTAACAAAGTACAGGGACCAGATGGTGTAATGGTTATATTGCTGGACTCCCATGTAGTTGACTCCCATTCAAATCCTGGACTCGGCAGCTTAAAGTTCACACCGGGCACATATGCATTTATGCCTAAGATCCCGAGAGGAGAATGGAGGAGAAGCGATTGTGGCATGGCCATCCATCCAGGGGGCTGATTTCTCACTTTCTGCCTCTCCAGCAAGCGCAAAATCTTTCTTAAAAAAAAAAAAGTATACTTGTGCAGTAAACATAATACTACAGTATGTGGGATTCTCTTTTCAGGAAGAAGAGTCACTGAAGACACAATTGGCATACTTTACTGATAGCAAACATACTGGAAGGCAACTAAAGGATACATTTGCAGATTCCCTTCGATATGTAAATAAAATTCTAAATAGCAAGTTTGGATTCACATCTCGAAAAGTCCCTGCACACATGCCTCACATGATTGACCGGATCGTTATGCAAGAACTGCAAGATATGTAAGTCTTGCTTATGTTTGCATTGCTTGCTTGTGTTTAGAGCTAAGGCTAGTTGAAATATGTATGTTTGCTATGCTGAATTTGTTGCTAATATTTAATGACTGATCTGTTAGAGGTATCTTCTAAGTAAATGAGAAGAAAAACTATTCTCTCTCCACAAACATTAGATACCATAGGTACTCCTGGTATGTCTTACAATTAATTATATGTTGTATTTGGACAGGTTTCCTGAAGAATTTGACAAGACATCATTTCACAAAGTACGCCATTCTGAGGATATGCAGTTTGCCTTCTCTTATTTTTATTATCTTATGAGTGCAGTTCAGCCACTGAATATATCTCAAGTCTTTGATGAAGTTGATACAGACCAATCTGGAGTTTTGTCTGACCGAGAAATCCGAACACTGGCTACCAGAATTCATGACCTACCTTTAAGTTTGCAGGTGTTGTATTGTTTTACTCTAAACTTCATGATACTTTCAATGAAAATTTTAATTCTAATATGTCTTTTTTCCCATGTATTTCAAAATAGTGCACATAAAAGTAATTCTAATATTTAATGTAAATGTTCATAGCTAGTTAGTTTTTAGTGCCAGAATTAAAAGCGAATTCTTCTTTGAAATGAGGACAAAAAACTTCCGTTGCATTATCTGATTTTGCTCTTTTTAGAGTGTCTTTATTTTAAGAGTTATAATAAATACTCAAACTCTCTTTGAAGATAGCATTAAAACCATGTTTAGAGACTTAGTTACATAGTTTTTTTTATTATTGAAAGTGCAGTCATTACTTATCATGCAGTTCTCTTTTGTTTTGCTTTGCTAGGATTTGACAGGTCTGGAACACATGTTAATAAATTGCTCAAAAATGCTTCCTGCTAATATCACTCAGCTAAACAATATTCCACCAACTCAGGAAGCATACTATGATCCCAACCTGGTAAGTGGCATGGGTTACATATAGCATGTATTATGTACAACACAAAATATATCCTTATCAAGTGTTATTTATGCCATCTCCGTATAGCACTTCAAAAGTTAGGGTCAGGCTTTATGTTTATAGATCTCTGGTGCAAAGTAAGTAGTAGCACAAATAATCAAGAATTATTTATGTCTTGGTTAGAAATCTGCCCCCCGTAGATATGTAAACCAATATTCAAACATGTAAGCCTGTATTCAGATATGTAAGCTGATAGTCAGATTAGTTGCTTATATTCCATAAGCAGACATTCTGTTTGCCAAGGGTGGCAGAAAATAGCTTGAGAGCGTTTCCACTGGCCAGGGAGAACAATCCCACGGTTAAATATCAACTAAGGAAATGTGCATCAGGTGGAACACCCTAGTCATCAAAGCTAATTTGCTTTGATGCTGTCCCATTCTTAATCTTACTAGTGGGGGCAGTTGATGATTTGCACACAACCACATTGAAATTCCACTTGGCTAAAGTAAATAGAAGAATTGATTGTAAGACATACCCTAGTTTCAGAGAAATTAAAAGATGAAAAAAAAATGGATATCTTAGAAATAACAAAAGGAGGATATAACACAGCCTTTAATGTAGTATTTACAGTTGATTTTTATAATATATAGAAAGTAAAATTAAGTGGGGAAGGAAATGGGTAGTACCATATACCCAGTGTAATCCTAGCTATGCAGAATTCCCAATTACCACCCCCTTACATATAATACATGCCCCGAAAGATAACAGAAATGACAACGGGTAGTATTTAAGATCTTTTTTTACACTAGTATTTTCCATATTATCTATAATGAATAGCTTTTGCTTTCATAGAATAAATACATATTTTTTAGAGAGATTTTTGTTATAGGGCATGTACACTTGCCAGAGAGACAGAGACAGACAGAGAGACAGAAAGTGTGAAATCACTCCCTCAGGGAGGATGACCACACTGCAGTCCCTTCTCCTCTTGGGATTTTGGGCAGGCATATACACATGCCTGGCATGAGTTTTAAGCCACCAGGTCCAGGATGACTGCATGAGAGTCTAGCAACGTAACCATTACTACATCTGCTGATTCTACCAGTATGTTCTTATTTATTAAGCTTT